ATATGAGTAAAAATAATAATTTTGAAAGTGTGTAAGTGACAACATCAGCATAATACATCACAAAAGCATGATGAATCATTTCTACTAGCACAACTCAGCAACTCCTTGATCCTCCGTTAGGCTTCTCCTAAGTAAAACTGCTAATTATACAGCCTGTGCATGGGTTTCAACAGAGATTACAAACAGAAATCCCAGGCAAATGGAGAGACTGGGTTTTTATGTTACCATCGAATATGAGTTTCTTTCAATGGAAAGATAAACCCAGATATACATTCAAACCACTGTGGTCTCTATTCAACATACAAACACGTCCATATGTATAAAAGACAAAGCGGCCATTCTTATCGGAATTCCATTGAAAAAGGGATGACCAAAGTAAACACGCAGAATGAAACAATGACTAATAGCGTCAAATTGCTTAGGCTATTGTATGGGCTTTGGCAGTCCCTTTGGGGATTGCCAATCCACTTGCTCATATGAAAGAGCACAGAGATAGGGAAATACCCATCAGTGAACATCCCCGTGATGCCCACATGGCATACTGTACTCACAGATGAGTTGTAGAGCAACAAAATGTAACTGACATTAATTAGGTGAATTATGTCGTTTCAGCAGTGGGGTTCCCTCCCTCCAAAACTGACATTCTTATGACATAACTTGATGTGGTAAAGAAGAGTACCATAAGTCACTATGCATGAGCATACAGCAGGATTAATTTATTTAGCTTGGAAAATAGCACTCCCCTTGAGACCACACCTGTGCTATGCGCTCCATATGTAGCTATCTGAGGTGACTTTGAACTGGTGGCAGCTTGGAACTCACCCCAGGTTTATTGCTTTGTGTTGATTTTCTTGGGTGGATTTTACCACTTGTGCTGAATGCTGCTAGCCATATCTGAGGCATTCACTTTAAAACCATTTTAAGCATATTCAGCTATCAAGCTCCTTTGTATTTTCGGCTTCCCAAAGCCATACAAGTGCAACAACCTTTTGTCTCTTGTAAGACTGTAGGCAGGCAAGATTTTTCAAAGTTTACGTGTGGGTTTATCTATCCAATCTATTTATCTTTCTCCACTACTCCCTTCTTAATTTATTCTTGGGGGTGGGGGGAGGGGCTGTGAAGGCAG